TTTTAACTTATGTCTTGAATAAATGAGACTGGCTTTTGAAAAATCAGAGGCTAAATAATTGATGATGTAGACTACATGAAAATGCAATAGTGAGCAAAAGGACATGAACCCGTATCATCTGTGGTATAACGTAAAGAACACTGAATAAGTGAAAAGGGAACCGGGGCTCTAATCTCATTCCAGTAACCACTAGCCCTTAACCTTGGACACATAACTTCACAAATTTCTTGCACCTACTCTATGCAAGAAATCATGCTATCTCTGGGCGTATAATGGGAATGATTCGGACCCGCAAACAGTTTAATTTAAAAAATGATAGATAAGTAAATAAACCATTACAACAAAGAAGGCTTTCTCAACCTCAGCATTATCGACATTTTGGACAGGATAATTCTTTGTTGTAGAGTCCTGCTTTGTGTATTGTAGAATTTTAGCAGCCTCCCTGGCCTATACCCACTAAATGCCAGTAGGATCATCTTCCTTAGTTGTGACAACCACAAATATCCCTGGACATTGCCAAATGTCCCCTTGGGAGTAAAAATCATCTGTGGTTGAGAACCCTTGCAATAAAGTGTGAAAAATGCTCTGATAAGAGAGGCTCAGGGCCCAAGGGAGTATATGATAGGGGTAACTAACCTAGTTTAGAGGAGTCAAGGGAGGCTTCCCAAAGAAAGGGTGTTAATGTTGAAACTTAAAGAATAAGAAGGAATTAGCCAGGCAAAGAAGAGGCAGGCAAGGACAAAGGGAGAGAGCATTTCAAAGCAGAAGGAACAACACTGCAAAGACCCAGAGGCAAGAGAGACCAAGATAAGTTTGAGAAATTGGAGTGATTATTTATAAGGGTATAGGGGAAATGGCATGAGATCAGCTGGCAAGGGAGGCTGATGCCAAGGAAAATGGACTTCACCCTAAGGCAGATGGGAAGCCAATGGAGGATTTTAAGTTTCAACTTCCATACCTGTATACAATAAAGGATCAGACTAGATGATTTTGAAGTAACTTTCCATCTCTCATATCATGATGCATCTTTAGGTATGAGTGAATGTATCTGAACATCTTACCATTGTGTTTCGCATTGCTTTTTCCATCATTTCTTTTCGATCATCTTGTAAGTCTTCTCTTATTCCAAAAGCAATATAAACGTCAGCCTCAGTGACTACTTTATTATAAAAATATCTGTCAAACAATAGCATAAAATTGTTTTGCTAACATGGTTACAATAAGATTCAGATAAAATGTAACAATTTGAAATTACATAAAGTACTTGATATACTTTAAAGTGTATTTCATGCACTATTTTATTTCATCCTCATAAAGCCACTATAATAAAGCTAGAGTATGGATTTTTATTACTATGTGCTAGATGAAAAGAAATTGATCTTGGGGAGATCAAAAGATTCAGATCCAGGATCTTTTCCTACAGGCCACATTACTTCCTTGATGATTTTGATACTAGTGGGAAGCTACTCCCTATTTTCTTTTCTCTTAAAAGGTACATGTCCAATCTCACTGTTATATAAGTTCCTTTTTAAAAATTCAAACAGCATATTTCCTTTTAGTTTAGAATTAAAGTAAAAATAAACATTCTACATAGTAAATAATACTATAGCAAGAGTTAACTTTTCTTATTAATGGTTTGAACAAATAAATTGTCTCCATTATAAGAAGTCAATTTCTATAATTTTCTCTCAAGTGAACATTTTATTCACTTAGTCTAAACCAGCATAAAAGGTACTCTATTTTCAGAATAAATGCTATTAAGAGAGGCAGTATAAGGCAGCATTTGAGGCATAGACTCGGGGACTAGACAGGCTGTGTGATCTTGAGAAAATTATTTAACATTTATATACCTCAGTTTTTTCACTTGGAACATGGAGATAGTCATACAATCTATTTCATAAAGTTGTTGTAAAAATTAAATGTGCTAATATATGCTGAGTGCTTAGAAAAGTGCCTGGCACATATACTTATATAAGTTGGCTATTAATAACTACATTATATCGTCATTTTAAAATGATCTAAGATTTTGCGATAGGTTGCTTGCAAAACTAACCTCAATTCTGTACCTCCCCATGTATCCACAATCTTTTCAGTTCCTTGAATGTACAGGGCACGGGAGGTGTGTATTTCCTCTGGCCTGGCCTTGTAACTTGCTTTGGACAAAAGAATGTGGTGGAAGTGACGGCATGTCTGTACTAACCCAGGCCTCAAGAGGACTTTTATGCTTTCATTCTCTCTCTTTGAGCATTGCTACTGTTGCAGGCTAGTCTGCAGGACGATGAGAGACACACATGGTCCGGTCACACTTTTAGCCCTGGTCAACTGCCAGACACGTACACAGGACCTTCCTAGACCAGCCAGCCCCTAGCTGACCCACCAACTGACTGCAGGTACATGGGCGAGCCCCGCTGACAACAGCCTGGCCCAGATCAGCAGAACTGCCCAGCAGTCTCAGAAATGCTTGTGGCTTTAAGGCACTGGGTTTCAAAGTAGTTATGCAGCATTAGCTGGCTGATTAATCCATGAAAAAAATAACAAGTGAAGGCTTCATATCCCAGTGTCAGTATCCTAAGTCATGCTACTTCTAAACATACACACTCAGCTTAAATTGTTAGGACTTTTTGCTGGTAAATAACCAAAAAAGCTAAAATCACAATCAGCTGAAATCAGAATAAACAAATAAACTATCGCATGATGTCTCTTCAATCAGTCCGGCCAAAGACATGGCAGACTCTGCTAATTAATCACGGATCTCACTTTGGGCAACTATCACCAACAAGAGTTGGCACTTGATTTAGCTCATTAATCTGAAAAGCAAAATAACTTTCTTACCTTGCTTTTACAGTAATTTCAAAATTCTTAAAATTCTTATAACTAATGAAATTACTTTCTGGTTCTATTGAGACAGAGATATGTGGCAAGACTGGAAGGAAAAACAAATAGACAATATTACTATTTAAATTAGGCTTTAAAATCTAGCTAACAACTATACTTTCTGGTATAGTTGGACAAGCTGTGGCATCAACACAAGATCCACCTTATCACCATCATCAAGAACAATATTTGGGAAACCTTCCAGCTCCACCATGGAGGTCAATCCAGCCTCAATGTACCGGAAGCACTTTGCTTATATTTTGATGATAGCATTTATTATAGGCAATAGATCATTTTTTCCACTAGAGTATGGGCTCCTTCAAAACAAAAAAAGACTATTCTCTATTTACTTTTGTGTATCGCTCAGCTTTTCTTTTCTTGCTTTTGTTATTATTTTTTTTAGAGACATGGTCTCACTCTGTTGCCACCCAGGCTGCAGTGCAGCAGCGTGATCATAGCTCACTCAGCCTCGAACTCCTGGTCTCAAGCAATCCTCTCGCCCCAGCCTCCTGAGTAGCCCCCTCAACTTTTCAATAGTGAAATAACATGATGAGATTTGCATTTCCAGGATTATTTTGGCTAATACAAACCAAGACAGCTTGGAAGGAGAAATATCAGTTAGAAGACTTTCTCAGTATTCCAGGAGGGAGCCTAGTGATGAATTTATGAGGGTGGCTATAGATGAATTCATGAGGGTGGATGAATTTTATATATATACAGAAAGTAGGAAAAACACTTGGACAAATGGAAATCAGTTAGGATTATATGTTACAGAGGGTCTATAATCTTTAAGGTTGAGTTTCATTGTAACAAGTTTGTTTTGTCACTGTTTTCCTTATTAATTGTTAAAATTTATGTAAGTATTTATTCTTTTCCATATCATTATGAGTCTCCTGAGGGAATAAAAAATGGTTTCAAGCAGAAGAAAGTTAAATTTGATAGCAGAGCACACAGATATTCTAGTAAACTACTACAAGAAATGGAAAGATTAAGCTATTTATATGTTCATTATTAGTCCATTACTATGATTTATTTTGAAATAAGAATATCTTAAAATTTCAAATTAATATATTTGGGATTTGTAAGTCAGAAGGAAAATGACACTGGACTAGAGGTAAGGAAACCCAGTTGTTGCCTTTGTTCTGTCACTGGTTGTAAGACTTCAGTAAATCATTTATTAGTCTTACTGGGTTCCACTTATTTCTGTTTAAGTTTCTCCTAATAATAATCATAATTCTAGGCCGGGCACAGTGGTTCACGCCTGTAATCCTACCATGCTGGGAGGCCGAGGC